GCCATGGTGCAAAACAATGATAATGTTGTCCTCTTTATAAATGAGGAAGAGGAATGCATGCACCTGTCAGGTCCAGAGTCGGAATGGGTGGTTGACACAGCGGCATCTCACCATGCCACACCGGTAAGAGATCTTTTTTGCAGATATGTAGCAGGCGATTTCGGCACAGTGAGAATGGGTAACACAAGCTACTCAAAGATTGTGGAGATTGGTGACATTTGTATCAAGACAAATGTCGGATGCACATTGGTTCTAAAGGATGTGCGACATGTACCTGATTTGCGGATGAACTTGATCTCGGGAATTGCTTTAGACCGAGATGGATACGAGAGCTATTTTGCAAATCAAAAGTGGATACTCACTAAGGGATCATTGGTGATTGCAAAGGGAGTTGCTCGTGGCACGTTGTACAGGACAAATGCAGAAATATGTCAAGGTGAATTAAACGCGGCACAAGATGAGATTTCTACAGATCTGTGGCATAAAAGAATGGGTCATATGAGCGAGAAGGGATTGCAGATTCTTGCCAAGAAATTACTTATTTCTTATGCCAAAGGTACAACGGTAAAACCTTGTGACTACTGTTTATTTGGTACACAACATAGAGTCTCATTTCAGACATCGTCTGAAAGCAAATTGAATATATTTGATTTAGTATATTCTGATGTTTGTGGCCTAATGGAAATTGAATCAATGGGCGGTAACAAATATTTTGTTACTTTTATTGATGATGCTTCACGAAAATTATGGGTTTATATTTTAAAAACCAAAGATCAGGTGTTGCAAGATTTCCAGAAGTTTCATGCTCTAGTAGAAAGAGAGACGGGTCGAAAGCTAAAGCGTCTCCGAAGTGACAATGGAAGTGAGTACACTTCAAGGGAATTTGAAGAGTATTGTTCAAGTCATGGGATCAGACAGTTCCTGGAACCCCGCAGCACAATGGCATAGCCGAGAGGATGAACCGCACCATTGTGGAGAAGGTGAGAAGCATGCTTAGAATGGCTAAACTGCCTAAGTCATTCTGGGGTGAAGCAGTTCAGACAACCTGTTACCTGATCAATAGGAGTCCATCAGTTCCATTGGCGTTTGACATCCCAGAAAAAGTTTGGACCAACAAGGAGGTGTCCTACTCGCATCTGAAGGTGTTCGGTTGCAGAGCTTTTGCACATGTACCAAAAGAGCAGAGAACAAATCTGGATAATAAATCTGTTCCCTGCATATTTATTGGATATGGAGATGAAGAGTTCGGGTACAGATTGTGGGATCCTGTAAAGAAGAAGGTCATCAGAAGCAGAGATGTAGTCTTCCGAGAAAGTGAAGTTGGAACTATTGTCGATATGTTAGAAAAGGCGAAGAATGGTATAATTCCTAACCTTTTTACTATTCCTTATACTTCTAACAATCCCACAAGTGCAGAAAGTACAACCGACGAGGTTGCCGAGCAGGGGGAGCAACCTGGTGAGGTTATTGAGTAGGGGGAGCAACTTGATGAAGGTGTCGAGGAAGTGGATCACCCCACTCAGGGAGAAGAACAACCTCAACTCTGAGGAGATCAGAGAGGCCAAGGGTAGAGTCATGCAGGTACCCTTCCATAGAGTATGTCCTCATCAGTGATGAGGGGGAGCCAAAAAGTCTTAAGGATGTGTTGTCCCATCCAGAAAAGAACCAGTGGATGAAAGCTATGCAAGAAGAGATGGAATCTCTACCGAAAAATGGCACTTACAAGCTGGTTCTTTTTACTATTTCTTACTATGCTCCTTCATCGTGTGGATCTGATTCTTTTTCTTGCATCAAGCATGTTGAAATACTTTTTTGGTTAATAGGTGGTGTTGAGACTTCAATTTACGACCTTTATTGATATGGTATTGAAAAAGGCAGCGCGGTGCACAAGACATCCCACGTTTAAGAAGGGTACGGGGAAGGGCCATACCCAAGGCATGTGATGTAGGCAGCCTAACAAAATACAAGCATTAGTGGTTGCTTCCACGACTCGAATTCGTGACCTATAGGTCACACGGAGATAACTTTACCGTTGCTCCAAAGTTCTCCTTCATGGTATTGAATTGTGCGACAATTTAGTTAGAAAGTTTAAATTGTAAGGAATATTTTTTTAGATTGCTTAATTAGTAGTTAACATGTTTCTTGCTTCAAGAGAAAGTCAAACACCAACTTATAGAAAACTCATTGTACATTATTCATTTCTCAGTTATTCTCTTCTTGTCACCATGGCTACCAACTCATCAGACAATATTGATCAGCTCAATGAAGTGATAGTAGCCATGGTACCATTTCCTGATTATAGTCATCTCAATCAGCTCTTCATTCTTGGTCGCTTCATCGCTTCCCATAATATACCAGTACATTTCCTCTGCCTTGCTGATCGGAACCAAGATTTGAAACTGCACGTCCAAGGAGATCTCAGGGCCTCAAACATCCATTTCCATGACATTTTAGTACCTTCTTCTCTGGTAGAAATAGAGGATGCTGGAGATGATCTGCCTTCGATTGTACTATTTATAAAAAGCCTCGTCGAGCCAATTAGAAGAACATGTATTGATCTCTCTACCAATACAAAGAGATTAGTCTTAATTCATGACTCCATAATTATGGATCATGTGAGGGATGTTCATTCATACCCGAACGTAAAGTCTTATATGTTTCACTCCATTTCAGCATTTGCCAGATATTCTTTGCTCCGACAAAGTATTGATCACATAGTTGATGATGATGATCATGAAGAAATGATGGAGAAAATGCAGGATGAGTTTCCATTGTTGGAGAGTTCGGGTGCACAATTTGCAACAATGTTACTTAGAAAGGAACATGAATGGAAGCTCAACTCGGGAGAAATCATGAACTCCTGCAGAGAACTAGAAGGTAAGTACTTAGATTTACTTGCCAATGCAAAAGACAACAAGCCGTGGTTGGCTGTTGGTCCACTTCATATGCTGCTAGAATCACACGACTCTAGCAACAGGAGTCGTCATGAATGCCTAGAATTTCTCGACAAGCAAGACGTTAATTCAGTAATATTGGTCTCGTTTGGAACAACCACTACATTCTCACAAGAGCAAGTCAATGAGCTCGCGGTTGGTTTAGAACAAAGCGACCATGGGCTCATTTGGGTACTACGAGAAGCGGATAAAAAGATGGAAAATGAGAAATTTGAAGAGAAAGATAAGAAAATTGAATTGCCAAAAGGGTTTGAAGAAAGAATGATGGTAAGAAATTGGGCGCCCCAATTGGAAATCTTGGAGCACCCGTCTACAGGTGTATTTTTGAGTCATTGTGGATGGAATTCTTGTATCGAGAGCATTAGCATGGGAGTGCCTCTAGCAATTTGGCCAATCCAATACGACCAGCCTTATAACGCTATTTTGGTAACCAATGTACCGAAGATTGGAACCTCTGTGAAGAGTTGGGCTCACCAGGAGGAATTGGTGACAGCAAAGGCGGTTGAGAAAGCTGTCAAGACTTTGATGGATACGACAGAAGGGGAAGAGAAGAGGCAAAGGGCGATGGAATTGAGCAATAAGATCAAGAATTCTCTTAGCCATGGAGGAGTTGCGCGCAAGGAAATGGAATCTTTGATATCATGTATTATCAAATAAAAAGGTTGGACAATAGGTGAATCAGGGGAATGGTGGATAGAGTTATTCGATATTTATATTGGTGCGAGATAGCAAGTACCAATTAAATTAGTTGAGGCGCAGAAAAAAGTTGACTCAAACACCACTTTTATCAAAAAGCTAAGGGAGAGAGAACATCAGTTTGGATGCTGTCTTTGTAAAAGAAAATAAGATATTCATTCATGCATCAGATAAATAAATGCCATACATCTGAAAGTTTAAATTGTAAGGAATAATTTTTTAGTTTACTTAATTATCTGTTTAACAGGTTTCTTGGTTTAAGAGAAGTCAAACACCACCTTATAGAAATTTGAGGGATCTCTTAATTAGTTCAATTTGTTAAATCTTCATATCACATGATGCCTTTATTATACACGTTTATCGATAGAGTAGCACATTCATTTCTCTTCAATCTTTAAATGCATACTAACTTGAAATAAGTATAAAAAGCGCAGTCCGGTTATGCACGGGGTTTTAGGAAGGGTCGGACCATAAGATCTGTTGTACACAGTCTTACCCTGTATTTTTGCAAGAGATTGTTTCCACGGTTCGAACTCGTGACTTCCTGGTCACATGGCAACAACTTTACTGAACTCGTGACTTAAGCTTTTACCATATATGCTATGCTCCGACAAAGTATTGATGACTTGCTTGATGATGATCATGTCAAAACGATCGAGCAAATGCAGGATGAGTTTCCGTTGTTGGACAGTTGGGGTGCACCCGATATGGCAATGTTCGTTAGAGAGGAACATGAGTGGTCGCTCGGCTCAGGAGAAATGTGTTAGGGATATATGAGATATGCCCTAAATTCAATTTTATATTTGATGATTTGAACATATTTTTTATGAATGTTATTTTATATAAAATATATATGACATTTAATATTATTTTATTATTATTATTAATTGCTTGATTAATTTGATAAGGTCCTTGATTAAATTTGAGACTTGTCATTGTGATTGAGATCATGATAATGAGACTGAAGTTTCTTATAGTTTAATCTAAATTTTGTTCTTGATCATAGGATTATTAATTTGGACATTAATAATCTGGTTGGATCAATATCTATGTGATCGTTTTTATGGGATAAAGATTAATTGATCTCAGTAACTAAATCACATAGATAGATGATGCATATAGAAATATGATCATTGAACCGACTCATTGGATAATTCCTAATGGTTAGAATTACCATAAACTGTCAATGAGATATTCTCTGGAAGAATGTAATGCAAGAGCTTCCTTTGACCTGATATCATCATAGTAATTGACAAGTTATTTATTGTACTTTGATGCTAGACGCCTATGGCCCTACGACGATAGTTGAAAAGATATTAGGTATGATTAAATACTTAAAGAATTAGTGATTGATCAAAATGGAATCTGTCAACTCTTGGTAATAAGTTTAAGCTCCATGTTATCATGAATTATAACCGACCAAATCAAGACCTTGGCCAGGGCGATTGCATGAAAGAAGAAAAGAGTTTCTTAGGTCATTCAATGGTCGATTATATTTGACAGGAACACATAGTTTGTCGTTTATTAGGATTTGACAGTTGAACCATATCCTAGGGTGGCCCAGAGCTATAAGGACAGAAGGAATTAATATATTATTCTTCTACATGTTCTTGAGAGTAAATTGTATACATCATGCTATCCGGTCGTTAAGGAGTTTTGCTAGATGTCACCCTTGATTAGTATATTGATGTTGTCACACCTCCTTTTTACATGCACCCCACAAAGGGGCGTAAAAGGGAGTTTTTCCAATTAAAGGACAATCGAAACAGAATTTTATTTAAAGATTCAGAGCCGCCACTTAGGAGATTTATGGTGTCCCAAGTCACCGGTTGAATCCCGAATCGAGGAAAAAAATGTCTCTGTATTACAGTCCGCGAACCAGAAATCCGGATAAGGAATTCTGTTAACCCGGGAGAAGGTGTTAGGCATTCCCGAATTCCGTGGTTCTAGCACGGTCGCTCAACTGTCATATTCGGCTTATTTATCTGATTTTAATACATGTTGAACCTATGTGCAAATTTTAACTGTTTACCGCTTTTATTATTATTATTTTTAACGAGAATTGCAACGTCGTGAAAATACACCTCGAACCACGTCACATCAATGCACCCATGGTTATCGACATATTTCAACTCTGTTGAGATTTAGATTTGGGTCACATAAATGTGCACCCGAGTTTAAGGAAAGTAAATTATTAAAGGTGCGCCTAAAGCGATTAGCGTATCATTATTTTGGGTAGGGCCGTGAAATTTTGCTAAACGACTCATCCCGAAGTCTAAGTAATTTTACCAACACGTATAGAGGGTCCCACAGCTTGTGTATTTGTTTGTCGAGACTCGTCTCATTCATATTTTTTTAAAAGGAATTTGCAACGTCGTGGAAATGCATCTCGAAACATGTCACAATCAATGTACCCATGATTAGCGACACATTTCGACTTTGTTGAGATTTGGATTTGGGTCACATAAATGTGCACCCGAGTTTAAGAGAGTAAATTATTTAAAGCGTGCCGGAAGTGACTTGCGCGTTATTATCTTTTGGGGAAGGCAGTGAAATTCGCTAAACGACCCGTCCCTAAATCTAAGTATTTTAAAACAAATATTATTGAGGGCCCCGCAAATTTGTATTTTCTATTCGGCGAGGCTCATCTCATTTTTATTCAAGGATATCCTAAAGCGACTATGATTTTTCTATTTATTTGTCTCTAAGAAAAAAGAAAATCCTAATCAATTAGCATTATTCAAGAGCTATTAGTTTTGAACTTATGACTTCCAACTAAATCAAACTCTCAACGGTTTTGGGGCCTCAGGGTCTGCCCAAGAACAAAATGGCCAACCTGCCTTGACAAGTTGCTACGCGTATGTAGTCTGGGCTGTCTGAGAAGGAAATTGAAGCCCAAACTGTCCGCTTAGTGGACTGTTAAGCCTTTAATTGTTAAATCAGACCAAGTTTTAACTCGAGTTAAATACACATACACTGAGATGTTACAAATTATTCAACATGACTCGATGATTATGAAGATTACCTTACTTGCTTATCTATTAGTGAGTTCCTAAGTATTACCATAAAGGGGAATCCGACGGGAGGCATGATTGGATTCGAGCAAACAGTAATTACTAACTAAAATTAACGATATTAAACCAACACTCAATACTTAAAGGAATCATGAATTTAGAAATGGATTACTGAAGACTATTAGAACTGCTTATCGCCCAAGCGTCGGTTGATTATTAATTCAATGTCCAATTGCAAAACTATTCCTCATACAGATCCAAATTGCGCTACATTGATAACAATAGCTAGACCAAAATAAACCGCTAACTCCGGATTCAACACATTTCTCTAATTAGTTTAACAATCCTTAAGCTAACAGTCCTAGAGTCACCATTTAAAATAGCCCTATTTTACTACAATAGATCACTATACAGAGAACTACCTAACGTAACAAAATTATCAAACTAGAACTACGACAGATATTCGACTTCACTTTCATTTCATGCTTCCAACAGATGGAGCTACATCGACATAGGCTCGAAATATGTACCTGGAAATGGAATACAATGGAGAAGAAGAAGGAGTGATCAGCACAACAGATAGCACGACACAACAGCAACAGTAACAGATATCCAGCAGCAACTCAGGAAAACCAATTAAAAAATTCCCAGCAATACCAACAGCAACACAAACTCCGAGTAACTGACCCCAAAACAGCTTGATAGCAACCAAATATCAATCAAAACACAAGCAGAAAACACCCCTAGAATTCAGCAATCAAGAAAAACTCGAGAGTACAACTCCAAAGTTAAAGCTGAAGCTCTTTTCAGTTTCCATGGGATAGCACTAGTTGAACTAGACTAACTCTTAAAACTCTCTTCTAGTTTTCAGAATGTTCAAAACCCTTAAGATTTCCATAATGTTTTCTTCCTAAGGTCTGCCCAAAAGAAAAGCCAGACCAAACTCAAAAGAAAAGTTGAAAGAGAACTGATTTTTCCTCCCAAAAACCAGCCCCTTTTCTGTCTTGAATGACCCTATTTATTACCAAAACAGACCCCCCC